TTATAATTACGTACGCCTTTCGCGCTTTCCCACATTTCCAAATAACTTCCAAGTAGATCTTTGCTTTCATTGCGATGTCTCTCGATGATTGCTTTCCATTCTTCTTTRTATTTCCCTACATCTGTATCGATAGYGATATACCAAAGTCAGTYTTTTTTGCCACTAAATTACACCGTGATTTATTTCATTCAATCATGATTAATTTTTTAACACAATATGTCAAAACATTCAGATATATKTGCTTATATCATGCGATGTGTATCACCATTTTATCAAATTTCCCGGCATGGGTCTCATGTTCAAGCTTATTGTTGCTGCTTAAGATAATGAATTCAAAATGGCGGCTGAAAAACAAAACTCTAACAACTTTTAACTTGTGTATCAGTGCGATATGAAGAACTTCTTCATTTGAAATTGCCGAAAACGGCGGCTAGTCATGAATGTAGCTAACCTGGAAATGGTACTGGTGGTTTGGGCGGAAGTTCCAGTGTATGGCAGAGAATTAGAATATCGTCTGGACGGTGCAGGTTGTCTACGTAAACTGCAAAAACAAAATATATAAGAAGGATCATTCTTGTGATTCTGTAAATTATTTTTAAAGTTTTTTTGTATTTTTGTTTATTGACCAGGTTTTTGAATAGTGTGTTGAGCAGGATCAGCYCAGTCATAGTAATGTGCTCCGGGTTTGAATTTTACTAAAGTCTGTTCTAAGTTGTTCTAAAAGAARGCATAGCGCCGACTTGAAAACATAACTAGAATAAGGCGAAAAATTAAATTAAATTAATAACATGGCTAGCCGTCTGGAAAAAATGACATGTTAAAAGAAATCCAATATATTAGGGATTCTAATCAGTCTTATACTGATATGTATTCAAATGATGTCGCACAACATCAGAAGCATCAGTTGTGAGTATTTCGTCAGATTTAAGCAGTTATCAGAAATCAGCTCATACGCGAATMAAGCTTAAAATATCAAAGCTTCAGTCATGGTACCTACAATGACCGGCAATGATATTAGTCAAATAAGAGCATCATTTATATTATATATATTAATATTCAATTCCAAGAGAATATCTTGTAACAAATAAGTTTCAATGTTGCAATGTAAAATGATAAACACAACGCGGTACTTACAGTCGAAGGCCGCTTTGCAATGGTCGCTTCCGTCAACCGCAAGTAGAATTTTTCTCTGTGAAGTATTCTTTAAGACTTCGTCCAAATTCCATTTGCAAAGCACAACAGTTCTTCGTCTGTCACTTGGTATTTTTCGTTGTTCTTGTTCAGAGCTCATTTTGAATAAAGTAGAGTTTGGTTTAAACTCGGTTTGGTTTACCGGGTAAWATTGGCATTGGACGCGATTTCAAGCTGTGAAGCGTGCACACTCTTTCCGAAAACAAGCCACAAATTAATGCATGACATCCTGACACGGTTAAGAACTATTCCAACAAACTGGGAAATTAATAGTCTAAAGTTGAACAGTGAAAAGCGTCCCTCACAGGAGTCAGTATCGAGCTTATCGGCGACTTTTTCGTTATCGCACCCATTGTCTTCTCAATCACCCGTCTCACCGCAAACCAGTCTTTCACAGGTGAAAATGAAAGCTCTCGTTTGAGTCATTACTCGTAATGATGTTTTTGAAATAATAATAATAAAAAAAACAAAAATATTAGCACTATATAACATCCTTTATAGCCACCCAGTAATCAAAAATGCTTGAAAACCCAGCTATTTGGTCTAGTATTCTACTTAAAGCTGTCGAATAGCAAGGGTTTATGGAGCCAATTAAAAAAGTTAAAAGTAAGTTCTTATTAAAACGAGAGTTTGTATATAGATGAGTTTTAAGGCAATTTTATCAAACTAATGCACGAACTTTAATTTTGTCAAATCGGAGAGTGTGAAAAAATGGGATTGAATGCTTATTTCATTTGATTCCCTGGAAATAATTGATATCAAGCATATGTTTATTTTGATTATTTCACATTCTGCTTTAAGTAATTGCTGTTTTCTTATTAAAAGTAAATTGATAATCAGTACTTAAATGACAAAAGTATGCCTTTCTGGTGCATGATTTCACTATTTAGCTATCAATCTTTTAAGCCGGTTAATAGTGATCTATGTGAGAGTACAGTGTCATTTTTTATCGAAAGTAGGGCGCTAGTGTATATATATTTCCAGTTTTACTTCTAATCCCATCCGTCCCTAATATAAACACTGGCCAATGCCTTATTTCATGACGTATCTGAATCTCGCTCTAATCCATTCACTATTCATTCATTTAATTCACCCTCATTCGTTTAATCTCATTATTTTATAAGCTATTCCCAAGGTAACACCTTGACTCCCAGAATCCATTTCTTCAGATACTTCTATTCCATTGCCTTCKGTAACAACACCAGTAATTGCTCGCTCCTTCATCACTTTGTTAGCGCTGTCAAATTGCTCTTCAGCTGTTTTGCACGTCCTCACTAATGTTGAAACATAAAAGCAAAGTAAGAAAAGTCGAAAATTACGGTGGAAGTTCATCTGTTGTGAAAYTCGTCATTCTTTCTTGCCTGTTTGACACAGGTAGCCCAATACGTTTCATGATGAAGAATCTTCTTGATGTGAGTTTCCATCTGAAATTGACGACCACGAATTCCGAAGCTTTGGCGGTGCGGTGTTTTGTCTTAGTACTGGATCTTTCCTGTTAGGTGGATTGGATTCTTCATCGCAGACAACGCAAACAGGAAGATGCGAATGATGAACAACGTAGTCGCTAACACTACCGAGAATTGTACGACGCATTTTAGTAAGACCACGTGATCCRAGGACGATCAAAGCAACTTCATTCTCCTTRGCAACTTTACAAATGGTGGGGCCTGGTGTGTAGCGCTCGTCTTGTACCTTTAGTGAATCAATCTRTGGAATCCGATAAAGAAAGCCATTAAGAATCTATTAAGCGATTACCCCTCGGAACCCTCCAAATCCTATCCGCCCTTGAGGTTATGCTAGGGTACGTTTCATTGTATTAGGATATATTACATTTTTCTCGTCGCATTTGTGCTGATAGTTGGTCAACATAGTTCTGCTATCTTCTCGTATGCATTCAATCTGTTGCCTCCACTCATCAAACGGCTTCTCTGCATCTATATAACAAACGAAGTATAGATATTCAAATGATCTTAGGTGTGAATCGTCAAGGTATAACATATTCTCCGATTATATTTCAAGCGCATTTTTATTGATCGTAAGGTCTGCGTACTYAGAGAGACTAGAGGAATTAGTTTCCAGGGGCCGGTTTAGTTTATCAGTTTTGCAAGAGTTTTCTTATTCCCTTGTAACCAAAACAAATAGCCACCTCAGCTTTCTCTTTTTTTACGCCGCAACGGTTTTAGGTCGCCCGCCATTTCACTGATTTCTCTAGAGACACAAACGACTTCTGACCGATGCTAAACTGCAATAAATTCCTTTTCCAGTTCCATTTCATTCCCATGCAATGGCGCTCGACTAAACTGACATGGGAGAGACTATATGTTCCTCGAGTCTGCGCATATACATCGAGAACACTTGCGTCKACTTGATAGTGAAGAAGGCCGGGCTAGTATGAAAACTTTGCCATGTAATCCAAGAATTCGACACTTTCAGACATTTAATTTCTCGGAAATGCCAAAAGTTAATTAAATGAATAATTCTTATATCAATATGTCATACGTTTTAGGACGCAAAYGGTGATGGCCATCTACACTTGATCTGAAGGGTTGTCAAAGGTAAAATGAATACTGTCAATAAGACAGTAGCTCCTTGTTCCAGAGAAT